TCCTTTTGAACCGAAACATGTAAGGCGAGTGAAATAAATAAGTGACCTAAAACCATTGCTACACTCGACGGATTATTCATTGACAATTTGTGATTGATAGTGTAACGGACCAAATATGAAACAATTCAAATAAGTAGTTAGTTATTAGAGAGGGTGGGTTTCCCCATGCACTTAGACCTGTAGTGGTCCATTGTGCTTCCCTCTATGATTTCTACCAGTCTCTATATCCTACCGGTATTGGTGCTTACCATCAGTCCCGCCCAGCCAGCGAGACCGGCTCTACTAGATGAGAAGTATCTATAATGCTTCCCCCCTCTACCAGAGGTATTAGTGACTGTTGTTGGGCGGCAAACGTCCGCAATTTTGCTCAGTGACCTCCTCTGGAGGTATGAGGTTGTTTTACATGCCGTAAAGCAAAGACACGGGACCCACGGCTTAAAGTCCCTCACAGATGACTTGTTCCCTCGGTTTTTCCACCCTTAAAAATTTGACGACCTCCGCCGGGTATTTGAACCCGCGTACTACAAGTCATGAGATGGGAACATTACCTCTAGACTATGGAGGCCGCTAAGTAAGTAAGTAAGTAAGTATGTGGGAGTTATTAGGTTTTCAGATCATGTTAGGAATGAGACGATAGTTGCTCGTAGGACGTAATCATCTCTACTTTAGGCACTGCTCAAAATTGGTAAACCTAGTATTAAGGAAAATTAGAAAAATTAGGTTTCAAGTTCATGACCTTCATTATGTGCCAAATAAAGAGCATTGTTTAGTATTTTCATTTTAAAAATTACAAATTTTTTTCTTTTGGTTTTTGTATGGTATTAATTTGAAGTTAGTTAAACATAAATAATAATATAAATGCAAGTGCAAAAGGTTACATTTATTTCATTGAGGAAATTGATGAAGGGGGCTTGAGGTTTTGGCAAAAAATTAGAAGGGGGATATCCTGTCAAACACTTTGGAGACCACTGAGCTAGACAGATTTTGGTGAAATTTCATAATATGAGCCATTGGAAGCCACCCCAGGCTCATAATTTTTAATTTCCTGCAGTTGGTAATAACATCATGGTTGATGCACAAACTTGAGGTGGACACTTCTTTGAAAATCCAGTGACTGAGGTAACCATATGTACGTATAGTAACTGGGAACCAAAATGACTGTGAACTGTGTCTGAAACATTTGAGAAGGGATGCCATCAGCTGGTAGTTGAATAGGTTCTTGTGTCATCATCAGGAGGTTACTAGATTATATTTCCAGTGTAAGACAAGGACCAAAATACAGCACTGAACACACAGGACTCTTCTTGTGTAAGGTTTTCAATTCAAGGTATGATGTACCATCACAGATATTTTACACAGACATTAGGAAGTCAGGTTGCACTTAATCTTCTTAATGTCTCTATCAGACGTGTCCATAATGGCTTCAAGCAATCAGAATGCCAATATGTAGAGAACACTTGTGCAAACTGTGGGTACTCGGGTTGCATCTTATCACTCTCTGTTATAATTTTATGTTTACAGTACCCTCCCTCCCCCCAACAAGCACTGCTGCCGTCACCTCAGACACCAGGCGTTCAGTCTGTTCCGCCAGATTTCTCAAACCTCATGCATCCGCCCAGGCCCCCACCAACCATGATCAGCAAACAAGTACAGGTAAGAAAAGTGTCTTCTTTTGAGAGATCCCCCCCCCTTTCTTTTATTAGTTGTCTGTGCTTATCTTTTGGGATATAGTGGCATATAGTATGTTTGAAAGTCTGCCAGAAGTTTTGGACGAACCTGGAGGCCCATGTTCCTTCTCAGCGTCAGTTGACTTTCAATGGAATACACGGCGGTATAACCACCGCTGCAAGAATCTTATATCCCATATTTTTTAAATTCCTTGTACCTGTACGCATTGTGATTTAACCCTTTCCTAGCCTCTGTCACAAGGCTTCTGGTAGCTAACTTCTTCACACAGGTCAATTGTCAGAGGTCTTTCCCCACATTACGATCGAATGCAAATATTATTTTGGGCATGTGTAGACATGTTGCTAGTCAGAGGCCTTGAAACAATGAGAGAACAGCCAGTGCTATCCAGTGGTGTGCAAACACACCTCTACATCAATAGAGATACTGTTGTAAATGATGGTGTGCAACCCATTGTAACAGTTGAACTGCAACAATGGAGATGAGGGTGTTTTCTATGTTGTCCACGCTGAGGAGTCATCTTGAATGTGACTGGGTTGACCCAATTAGTTGTAAGAGCAGTGAGTTGAAAGTCAGTCTGTGAAGAGAAGACTGAAGTTGGTGTGAAATGGCTGCCAGCCTGGCAGTTGTCAGTTGAGAGTTGAATTCTGCACGGGAGGCTGTGAAGATAGCACTTGAGTGCGTGAAGCTGAAGAATCTCCACTGTTAGAAGCTGTTGCCAGGGAATGGCTGGTGAAGATGCAGCAGGCTGGAAAAAGACTTAGCGGGTGCTGTGGCGATTTGTAAAGTGTGGATGTCAGTGATAGCGCTGTAATTACTTGTAGTTCCAGTGTATGTATAAGTGGTCAGTAAATCCATTCACCAACCTGTACCCCATCAACAGCCACAGACATGAATCGTGACAATATATTTGCCTTTTAGATTCTTTGACATCGTTTTAGTAGTTCACATACAGAAACAAGATATTGCAGGAGTTTTATATTTCTTCTTTGAGAGGCTCTTTTCCTCTCTCTATTGAATAATTTTCATGAAAATTAATTGTGGCTGGCAATACTGAAGCTGGGAACAGTTAAAGCTTCCAAATAAATTGTGCTTTCTGACAAATTAATTAACCACTTGAAACATTCTGTTTCTTCAAAAGTGTTTCTCTCATATTTACATAACGACAAATTTATGGTCTGTAGCAGATCTCAGAATATTTGTATGACGTGAACTACATATGGAAGTGTGGGAAGGAGGAATGGATAATGTGGAGTTGTACCTACGCTTGATTAAATGCTGTGCCATGAAGAAGTATAGCACTGTGAATGTGTGGGTCGGTGCATTTCTGACCTTGGCTCTGGATGGAGGTGAGTTGTAGTCTGCTTCATCCCTGGGAAAGAGTGCCTGGAACCCACGGTATAGTAGTAGACCTTGTGGGCCCTGGAAGCAGTCTGGATGTGGAGGCAAGTAGAAATATCACAGGCCCTGCTGGGAATCAAACATCATTTAGCCATCTTGCTTTACTGTATTGACTGAGTTATCCATAAGTGAACAAAAAAAAGTAAAAGTAAATCTGTAACAGGCTGTTAGGGTTGTGAGACGTTGAGGGTCCCACATTATCCAGACAATCGGCAAAGATGGTGGTAAGGTTGTCAGCCTTACGTGCCGGCCGTGCTTTACTCCCCAGGAAAATTATATAATTAATTCCTGGTACTCATTTCTGTTAGAGGCTGTGTCGATCCCACGGACATAGTTTGGCTGGAAGGATTAGGTCTTTATAAGTGAATGACAGATGTATTTGTGGAGAACTTGATAGACGTCATCCATTATCCATTAGTGTTTCCGTGGTTATTCCCGACATTATTTTTCAGTTATCTCAATTTGTTACAGTTTCTTAGGGTTTTTGTTGCTGTCTGTTAACTTTGTATCTTTAACTTTTAGTGTCTGGGAATGTGGGTTTTTAATGGCCCAGTTCTGTAAGCAGTTGTATTTTAACTTAGCATTTTAAAAGTGCAACTTCCAGCCAGCTGGACTGTACATCTGCTGTGGAAGTTATGTGACTCACAAGTAAAACATACGAGTAATTCTAAATTTATTTAAAAAAGTTTAATTTCTGTCAATTTCCTACCCTTTCAGTTTTTGTGTGTGAATATGACAATTGTGTGTGCACGTATTAACCTCTTATCCCCTATATTTGCCAGACTACTGTGCCCAACCAAGGTCAGATAAGTAGTGTTCTGACAATGGTGTATAACACAGTTACTGTTTATTTGTTCATTGTCTGGTATTCAAAAAATAGAGAACACAACCCTTCAGAAATAGGATGTTTTTCCATCATCAGGTGAAGGAGTGGGAGGCGCCTACACTCAATCACTGGATGGGGTTAGCTGTTTCTCTAAGGGACCCAACAGGGAAGGTGCCTCTCATCCCTTCAACTGAGGACAGAAACAGGTCCAATTTCCAAAATATTATGTTCTCTATTTTTTGGAATACCAGACAATGGACAGAGTCCAAAAAGCCAGAAATTCGAAGGTCAGACAGTAACATGCCATGATGACAGTATATTCCACTTTAGCAGTAAACTTGGAGCACATAGTTTCTTTCTGTTACTAGATGGTGTTGTGGGCTTACTTACTTAGTCATGGAACTGAGCCCTTCTGGAGGAGCCACCAATTCTGCAGCTACTCAAGAATTTCCCAGCATTTTATGGAACCCGAAGGTTCATTACCATGTTCACAAGAGCCCTCCACTGGTCCCTATCCTGAGCCAGATCTATCCAATCCATACCATCCCATCCCATCCTATCTGTCTAAGATCCATTCTAATATTATCCACCCACGTACGCCTTGGTCTTCCCTGTGGTCTCTTTCCTTCTGGTTTTCCCACCAATATCCTATACGCATTCCTCGTCTTCCCATTCGTGCTACGTGACCTTCCCACCTCATCCTCCTTGACTTGATCATTCTAATTATACTTGGAGAAGAGTGCAAGTTATGAAGCTCCTCATTATGCAGTTTTCTCCAATCTCCCGTCACTTCATCTCTCTTCAGTCCAAATATTCCTAAACACCCTCAGTCCATGTTCCTTCCTTAATATCAGAGACCAAGTTTCACACCCATACAGAACCACAGGCTGGGCTACTTTTTATATCTTCCATGTATATGGGTAGCTTGATGGTTATTTCTTTTCTGTGAAATACTGCCAACCTCTATGTTCTTTGAATAATGGCTGCCCTGGTAGGTAAGCCAGCAGTGAGGTTACTGAGAGTGAAAATATTGATGTCTCAGGTGGATATGAGAGGGATCACTTTCTTTTTTCCCCCTGCAGACGGAGTTAACGTGTCAGAGGATACAGGAATTTGAAACGCAAGCATCATCTGATCTGGAACTCCGAAACAACAAAATAGATGAGCTAAATAGAGTGAGTATTATTATTATTATTATTATTATTATTTTTGTTAATGAGGAAAGTGTACTTCACTTTCAGACACAGCATAATCCTGATTGTCCATACATGGATTACCCAGTTTACAGCTTGTCTGTGCACTATTTTTAAGTCTGTTCAGAACCTTGCAGAAGGATTATTAAGCAGGCTCATTCCCTTCCATCTGCACCTATGCAACAGATAGAAATGCAGGATGGAATTTCATGAAGTTTGATGTGGGAGAAGTTTGCAAAAATTTGCTGAGTCATTTTGTGTAAATCCTACATCTATAATGCTCATATTACACGAAGATGTGCATGCCTTTCTGTGCATATTTTGAGTGTAACTTGCTAAATATTTATCATAGCAACATAATGTGTTGGATGCAAGCTATAAAGAAAAATTAAACAATTTTTCTGCAAGTCTTGCAGTTGTCAGGATATTTAAACATATCTGGCACTTCGTGTACAGTTCCAATTTTTTGTGAAATATCTTGAATTCTTCGTATTCAGTTATTCACGCATCTTCTCCACTTCATTAGTGTACATAATTTGGGAATATGCTGTACAGAAATCCCTTGTCATTGGCAGAGGCTGTGACCCTGAAGAGCATCACAATTGGGAAGGCCAAAGCATTGTGGGAAATAAGAGGTTAGGGGAATCACAGCCACTGTTAACACTTGTCAGAGCCTAAGTAAATATGTACAACATTTTATTTGGGTCAGTGAAGAGAAAAAGACCTCTCAGAAGATGTAGTGACAAGTTTATAGTAAAACTAATTAATCAGATGGAAATGTACAGGCATGTATGTAGCCTATACTAAGCTGGTCATTACAGTCACCAAATGATGATCCCTTGGATCAGAAGCCACATATTTTGCTTTCGATGCTGTCATAAGCTAGAATTTCATAATTTCAAAGCTTTCATCGTGCTGTTATGTTACTTTATCTATAAAAGAGGTTTAGAAAAACTTTGATATTCCATCTTACACACAATACTCCTTTAAAACATTCGTGTTTTTCTTCATGCAGGACGTTTCCTTGTGCTCTGTTGTGTGTTTAAACCACGCAGCAGAAGGAAATGCCCAGCATGATGAAAAACACGAATGTGTGATGGGACTAGACATTGAACATTAGGAACACAAAACGCAAGCACAGCAGTCTCCACAGACAGTTTTAGAGCACCTGATGATGACCAATGATGGTTGAAACACATATTGTACAATGTCGTTTTAAATAGGAGAGTTCCTGGCTACAGATCCAGAGGTGTGGGTTCGATTCCCAACGCTACAAGATTTTCTGAGGAGTAGTGGGTCTGGAATGGGGTCCACTCAGCCACGTGGGGGTAATTGAGGAGCTGTTTCAAGGAAATAGTGGCTGCAGTCTAGAGAACCGAGATTAATGTCCGTGGGAATCCCTTGCTCTGACCATGCAACACCCCCTATGTACTAAAGTTCTCACTAACTTTGCCAACAAATGGCAGTTGCTCAGTTGGTATAGTTCGCTTGTGGACTAAAACAATGAAGATTGTTTGTTTTTTGGTTTTAAATAGGTTTAAAAGACTCATTGTGTAAATGTAGTAACTTTTAAAGAAATTTTTAAAGGAGTGTTGCATGTAAGGCAGAATATCAGAGATATTTATTAATTAATAAACAGTGTGCTCCAGGATGCTACAGTATAACCTCGTGGACATGGTTTGTGAGAAATTGTTTAGGGTTTTGTGGTTAGTAAATGAACCCAAAGAAAATATATAAATAGTAGAAGTTCTGCTTCCTGTGCTCACAGTCTCATCATAACATCCATATTGCAAAAATACAAAACACGTGCTTTAAAAAGGAAAGATTTTAAATAAACATTCTTAATGAAAGTGGTAAGAGAGGCACTAGTTGGCAGATCCACATGCTTGAAGAATTGGTGTGCTGTGTGCAACCAGGGCATGCATGGTAACATGGTCTTGTATAGAATTGTTACAGTTTGTCTGTAGAAATAGATAACCAAAGTCCTTTGTGTACTCAGTAGTAATATTGGTAACAAGTCTTCACCTGTGTGTCTGAAAGTACTGCATTCAACACAAAGTTTTGGGAAACTTGAGTTGAAAGTTAAGGGGGTCAAATGCAGTTAAAATGTGGCTCAGAGCAACATGCATTCTTAGATCTCACTCTTACGAGTAAGGTAACCCTCTGAAAATGTATGGAATTTTTGCCTAAAAGTGTGTGTTACAGATTGTTACGGACAGGATTCATCAAATCCTGGCTGCTGTATTGGCACCTTATATTTTTTGGAGTAGGCTGCTGTTCTGAAATATTTCTTTGATTAATTAATTAAGCACAATGCTATGAAGGCCTGTGGGTGGGTGGATGTATAGATCCACATTTTCTTGACCTTGGCACTAGTTGGAGGTGAATGGTCAGCTTCACTCCCCAGCCACTTTACCCCTGGGGAAAGAGCCCCTGGTACACATTTGATAGGAGGCTGGGTGGGCCCCAGAGATGGTCTGGATGATATGGTGAAGATAAAATTCTTGACCCTGCCAGGACTTGGTCTTCCAGCCTGTAGCCATTTGCTATTCCAACTACACTATCCCTGCTCCCTTGAAATATTTCTTTATTCACAGTGTGAGGACAGACAGAATTTGCACCCTTACTGGGACTTGAATCATGGTTGCCCAGTCACATCACTGACAGTTAACCTAGAGTTCGGAGAGCCCATCCTGTTACATTCCGACATCAATGTGTTATATAAAAAATTCCAAGAATATCCTAAATACAGTTTTACATTTCACGTGTAAAGCCAGATATTTGTGGCAAGTGGGCAGTGCTCCTAGTGTTAAACTTGTGTCTAAAGACCAGTTGTCCCAACCAGGGTTTTCGTGGTTTTGGTTAGTCCCACATACTTTACAATAAGTTATTGACTTGTCATCAAACAGTCTGATGCTGTGTACTCGTTACTGACAGCGCTATTAACTGGACCATAAATAAATATTTGATAGACAGTAGTAACACTTTTGTATTGTTTGATGGTGGCAGACGACGGAGGAACTGAGGCACCAGCTGGCAGCCCAGCAAAAGGTGATCGAGCAACACAAGTCTCATATCAACAAGTGTATTGATGTGGTCAAAAAACTGCTCAAGGAAAAGTCCAACATTGAGAAGAAGGAGGCACGGCAAAAGTGCATGCAGAATAGGTTACGGCTAGGCCAGTTCGTCACGCAGAGAGTAGGTGCAACGTTCCAAGAGAATTGGACTGATGGTTATGCATTTCAGGAGTTGGCAAGGTATGTATGTTGAATTTCAAAGTACTGCATTTAGCAGAGGCCTGTCAAACAGGCAGCTTATCAGAGCAAGTGTTCCTGAATATGCTCACCTGTTAGCATAGTTTCTGGTCTATCACATTATTGTAAAATTATTTAACAGGCGGCAGGAAGAAATTACAGCGGAGCGAGAAGAAATCGACCGACAGAAGAAAATGCTGCTCAAGAAGCGGCCGTCAAATAGTGAGACTGCGCGCAAACGGAGTAACACTCAGCAGCAGCAGCAACAACAGCAGCAACAGCAACAACAAGGGCAGGGTTCGGCTATCCTGCACAACGGCACTGACGCCACGTTCCTGAAACCAGACGCTATCCCAGGATTCTCGTGGCAAGAGTACTATGAGGCTGACGAAATTCTTAAGGTCAGTAATGCATCTCGGTGTTTATGACAATGTTGCATGATTCATCATTGAAATGTATTGAAAATACTACCTTGTTGCTGTATTGTGGCCTCTGGATTGCGCAGTAGGGGAGGGAAGGTAAGAGTGATTGGGGAGGAGAGATATGGGTTTCTAGAACGTTAGCCTCTAATGTTCAGAATGATGATTTGAAATCTGATAGTACTTCAGGGTTGGCTTCTATATTTAAATTTGGAGGTAAGAATTTATTGTACAGGAATAGGGATTTTAAATCTTCTGGTCATTCTTGACATCTGTATTTTAACTGAGGGTTAACAGTATCAGTACTGAGGTTGAATGCATAACCAGAATGCATAACCAGTAGAGGCTAATGGGCTTTACAGTATGGTACAAGGCAGACTGCTTCTGTTAGGTTGTGTTCATGCATGTATCATGCCACCTGTGCCCAACTATGGAGGAGAAGTGAACACAGCTGCTGTTTTTGTGCCCAGTTTTGTAGGAAGTCTTGCCTCATGGTGCTGCATTTAAGATGTATGATTCTCCTTTTGGAGAAATGATGTTTGTGGTTTATATATGCTCTATCTCTGATGGACATATACTCATTTATCAAGGTTAGGTATGTTTAGTCAGTCAATACTAGAATCTGAATTCAGGACAGTTTCCATTGGAGGCTTGGGTTGCTGTGATCATGATGGTTGAGTAACGATTATGATAATTAGATTGAATATTGTGTAGAAAATGTGGGAGCCTTGCCATCTCACAACCCTGTGGGCCTCCATGGCCCCTTACAGGGATAGCTTTAATTATAATTCTGCGTTCCACTTCACTTTGAAACATTTTAATTGAACACAGTGACAGCAGATGGTATCAGCTTGTATTCGGGAAGTTCTCAGTTAATCTCAGCTGGGACACTTAATCCTGACTGATGCAGTCTGTGGTTTTCCACTGTCTGCCCAGACACATACGTTTTCCATGGTCTTTCCAATTGATAAATTGACTATCATCGAATTATTTGGCCCTGTGCACTCTTACTGACAGCATTGTTAAAGCATGCATATATATGTATGTATTGTTTCCATCACAAGTTACACCTTCTCATTTGTAGATGTAAAGGTTCTGGGTTGGAGACCAGCTAGATCCATTGCAGATGTTTCCTCAAGCCTTTGACATTCTCTTATATCAGTAATATCAGGTCCACACCAGTGTTGGGAGTCTACAGCTATAGATCTCTTTTGACCATTGTCTTCATCACTGTCCTATTATGGAGTGTAAGTTGAATCTCACCTTATATATCCTTCTATGTCAGAAGTGGTTTGCCCTTACCAGAGGTCACTGTAACAGGAGACAGTGTACCACAAAATGTGAACCACAGTGTCTTTTGGATGTGGCACTGTGTAATCTGGTACATAGTTATTAATGTTCCAGAGGGATCAGCTGCTTTCGCCTGAAGGGTGGCAGCAGGTTCATCTGTGAACTGTACCAGACTTCAGATCATCTCATCTAAAATCTATCCTTGTAACAGGCCATGGAGGCCCATAGGGTTATGGGACATTGAGGTCCCCACATTTTCTAGACAGTCAGCAAACAGATTGCAGTAAGGCTGTTAGCCTTGCGTGCTGGCCACCCTTTATACTCGGGAAGATTCCTGGTACTCATTTCTGTTGGAGGCTGAGTCGACCCCAGGGTCATAGTGCAATTAGAAGGATTTGGTCAATTGAAAAAACCAGTGAATTGAACTCGCGACGTTCCGGCTTGTATCGAGTGCCTCAACCAACTGTGCTATCGCGTGCCCCAACAGAGCATCTCATGCCAGAAGAAACTAATCTTTATACTCACTGTTGTCATAGCCTCATATTTCACATTTGAGTCACGGTCTTTGTCCTATCCTGCCGAGTGGGATGTGGAGAAATTATATGAGCATGATTCAATTGCTGTGCAGTTGCGGCAGAGCGCACTAAAGAAAGAGGATGCAGATCTTCAGCTGGAAATGGAAAAGCTGGAGAGGGAACGAAACCTACACATCCGCGAGCTCAAGAGGATCCACAACGAAGACCAGTCCCGCTTCAATAACCATCCGGTCCTCAACGAGCGCTACCTCCTGCTCATGCTCCTAGGCAAGGGTGGCTTCAGTGAAGTGCATAAGGTGAGGTTCTGTTGAAGGCATTTAATAGTTGCATATTGAAAACTTTAGGTCAGCAGCTTTGAGCTACGGGTATGTGAATGTGCAGGGGGTGTGTACAATCCATAATGGGATCTCCTTTTGCTACCATAACTTTTTGCTTTATGCAGATCAGTGGACTAAAAGTCTCCAGTCTTTCTTCTTCCCACATTCTCCATTTCTTGTCAATTCTTTACTGTCTTCTTGCCATATTGTACTACCTGGCTGAACCATCTTGTTCTGGGTTGTCCCATAGACCTCTTTCCTTCAAATTTTAATTCTAATGCCCTTCTCAGTATTCATATTCTTTCTGTTATTTTTACTTGACCAAGCCAGTGGAATCATTTATCTAGTTCTATACACATTCTTAGCTCTTAACTCTTCTAGGATGTTATTTCTAATTTTGTCTTTTCCTCTTTTTCCCGTAAGTGTCCTCAAAAATGTTGTAATTATTGTTTGGATTTTGCTTCTGTTTTTGTAAGGATCCATGTTTCAGTGTTAACATGTTAATATCAGCTTAAAATGTACGTTTTACATTGTAAGAGAGTGCGTGAGATGTGCTTCTTACATTGTTATGCAGGTCAATAGGGCCTAGGAAGTTCCTTATAACTTTCATTTGTTCAGGATGCAAAAGTCTGTAATAGAAAATATCACACTCTGAGATAAAAGTTAAACTGCCAGGGGTACATCAGCAAAAACAGTTTCAGGAACTCTTCCCTGGATTATAAACTACATTGTGGTCATGTCTCAGTATAAGAAAAGGAGAAGAGGAACGTGTTACCTCCATCTCTAGGATTAAAGAATAATTCAAGCCAGCAAACAGCGTTCCTGGGATATTACATCATGTAGTCTGGTAGAAGGTGTCATGTACTGCCTCCACCTTCTGCTTGCAGCTTGCTTCTTGCTAGTTGTTTGCCTGCCTTGCTCTTTGACCCTGAAGATGGAGGAAATATCTACTTCCAAAACATTTGTCAGCTTATACCGGACTACTCAACATTAGTCCCAGAAGACTTTACTTCTCATAATTACTAATGTTCCATCATGCCTTGGTGCTCTAGTGGCAATGTGTTTGCCAAAGAGTCTTGAGTTCAGACCTGGCTGAGGTAGACTGGTTTTCAGGGGTGATAAAAATCCATAGCACACCTTCTCTTAGAACAGAAGTAAAGCCAGGGGTGTAGGCATGTATTCCTGAATGCTGCTGCAGTCACACAGCCTCAGAGATCTCTGACAGACAAGTGGAAACAACTTGAAATAACCCAACCCAAATGCAGTACACTGGATAACTGGACAATGTACACACCCAAGTGGTGTCTGAATAGAAAATCTGTTACAAAGACATCAGTCATTTGAGGTTAAAAGCACAGTGACTCAATCTGTAAAAGTGTGGCATTATTAAACATCAGCCAACCACATTTAAGTTAAATACAGTCATAGATGAATTTTGACAAAATTTTTCCATTCTATATTATTTTTATACTGAGTTTGCTGTTTAATAGAATTAAAATATGTAATTTACAGATGTGATGACTATAACCAGCGCCTGTTATATGTTACTGAGTTGTATTCCACAGGATCGCATGTAATGACATTTTCAAGGAAGGAAGAAAAGAAACATGTAAGGTTGTCACCATCCCTCAATTGGCTGCTGTGGGTAGTCCAACTGCCTTCAGCATATTCCCCTCCTTCTGTCAGGAAAACTCCATGCCTGCATATGCTACAGGTTCTTGGACAAAGTCTGTTGATGTCGCATTGTTTTGACATTTGTGCACAAATATAATTTCCGGTTTTTTTTTTTTTGCCTTGTTTCAGGCTTTCGACTTGAAGGAGCAGCGCTACGTTGCCTGCAAAGTGCACCAACTGAACAAAGACTGGAAAGAGGACAAGAAGGCTAACTACATCAAGTGAGTTAGTTGTAGTCTTCACTTAAGACACCTTTAAGTTTCTGTAATGTGTTAGCCCTTTAAAGCATGGTGGTTGCTATATATACCACCCGCTTTAACATTAAGGATCTCTACATTTTGTCCACACACTGCATTTATGGATTTTGTGTGGTGCTCAGCATAGACACTTATTTCTCAAACAGCATTAACTGGTTGGTTTTATAATGGGGAGATGTGTGAATTTTTAAATATTTAGACAGCTTCATAGTTTCAACTTCATAGGTCAACAGACATATTTTGCGACTTCAGAAATTTGTTATAATAAATTAGCGCCAGTAGTGGCTAAATTGACAGGAGGTAGGAATTGAGCTCATCATTATGCCTCATTGCTTCTGTGAATTAAGAGTATAAACTGGCGAAGTAAAGTAAATACATTTGCCATCAAAGTGAATCAGTGTGGCTTGCTGTATAGTGCGTGACTGGTGTGTTTCCCCATTAATGCAACTCTTGAGGCAAAGTCAGGCCCTTACCCATCCACACCTCAGCTAGCAACTTCCAAGCAGAAGATCTGATTGACTTGTCCATTCATAATATTGTGCCCATAGTTGCACTCCAGTGACCGACACCAGGGTACATCATTTGAGAGCAGTTGTCTTTGTATTAAGAAACTGTACAAGAAGGGTTCCCAGTAAACTGTATGTTCAGTGAGCATGAATTTGGGTGTTGTAGTCAGTTTGTTGAGGATTGTGGATAACTATTTTGTGGCTGTGTTTCATGTGTTTGTAGACATGCGTTAAGGGAATACAACATCCACAAGGCACTGGATCACCCTCGTGTGGTCAAGTTGTACGACGTGTTTGAAATTGATGCCAACTCATTCTGTACAGTGCTGGAATACTGTGATGGTCATGATTTGGACTTTTATCTCAAACAGGTGGGGAATAAGTTACAGTGTTGTAATGATAATAGGCTTGATGTTGCCTTAGATGTGATGCCATTTAGTTTGGTACATGGTCCCTGGTGTTTTGGAGAAACCTGCTACCCCCTCTTGCAGGGAGGCACCTGTCTGTCTAGCTACACAGAGTCACATCACAGAAGACTGTAATCTGAAAGTTTATTTGTAAGTGTATGTGTGCCATGTAAACCTTGGTTTATCTGCTCTTTCCAAGAATAAAGCAGCTGTTGACCACCATCTAGTGCTAAGGTTCGTCTTCTGCACAACACAAACCAATTAGATCAGCTGAGCATTTATGTTCAAATTGCCACAGCTGAATAGATACCCTCATTATAAGTGTACAGAATTCCTGTCTTATTGTCACCATGTGTGACGTGCTGATGTTCAGAGAAAAGAACAGCCTTTCATGTGATATACAGTTGCTGTTGTTTGAAGGTATTTCAAAGAAATTTTCTGGGTTTTTCTTTGCAACTGCATTTACACCCAAGGAGCCTAGCATTTCTGGCATGTAGATCTGTGGCGGGGCTTCACAATCAAAAGATTGAGAATGTGGGGGACTTACATAACAAGTCCCATCATATGTTTTCATGGTGTGGTGCCTAATTAGGCACAGGGACAACTGTAAATCTTACCTTTGCCATTTGTATCTGATCTTTGTCATTCTGGATCACTAACTGTCGAACATGCATTAATATTATTTTATGTCTGGTCTTCTCGTTTGTTCTGTAATTTTATTGGCAGTTTCATCCATCATGCTATTAATAAAGGAGTATGGTCTGCAAAGGACACGATATTGACTGAGATTTTAAGGATCCTGCACATAAATATTAAAAAAAAGTGACACAGCTGTGGACAAATTTGTTTATGTGGGGAGTGAAATGAATTCAGAGGAGATCACTAAAAGATTAGAGAATAGTTTTAAATTTTGTCTAATTGTAAAAGGAATATTATGGAAAATAGAAATGCAAAACAACACAGAATGAGTATATATAAAGCATATTTTTAAGCCTTTACTAACCTAGAACATGAAAACATGCGCTTCTACAAAATGAAGCAAAGGGAAAAGCAAAGCAGCGATATGAAATTTTTGGAGAAGTTTGACTTTAGAATTTCTTAACAGAAGTGGAAGAGAAGTGATTAAAGTAGTCTGATCATATAAAAGTAATGAATAGAATAAGGGTATTGAGAAGGTCAGGAGGATTAAAATTTAGAGGGCAAAGTCATTAAGTTTGACCCAGAATGAAGTACTTTAGCCAGGTACTGGAAGCCATGAAGAGCCATGTGGGCTGGCAACAATCCAAAAGAGTGAGGATTGTGCGAAGGAAGAAGGGATAACAAACTTTGGTCTGTTGACTCACACAAAATGGATGTGATGCTAGGAGAAGACGACGAGAACTATGAACCAGTGTATTTCTTGAGCGGCTGAAAGGAAATATGCATTTGTGGAACCAATTGGTTCAGTGCTGTGGACATTAAAGCTTGTCTTTGCTGCAAAATGTTTCATTGCAAGACCTGAAAGCAACTTTGTAGGGTGAGACATAAGAAATATTTGGTATGTACTTTCTTCTGATATTGGGAGCTTCCTGACTGGGGTGTTTATTTTATTACAGCACAAGACTATTCCGGAGAGAGAAGCACGGTCCATTGTGATGCAGGTTGTATCAGCACTCAAGTATCTCAATGAGATAAAACCTCCAGTCATCCATTATGACCTTAAGCCAGGTGAGATGCTCTGAAATTCCAATTAATATTCTCACATTTATTGATATCCTTTATTTTATGTTCCTGTGTTTAGTGAATGTTAATTCTAGTCCCAGCTGCAGCCCAGTATAAATAATGTCTTACTCCCTCAGAATTCATGAATTTCAGTATAGCCCTGCTTGCTTGGCTTACTCCGACCTGAAGATGGAGGCAGATCATTCTTCTGAAACGTCATTGCACTTCTACTGGTCTACATGGCATCACATCCTGGAAGATAGGCGCTGGTTTGAGAACCTTAAATCCAGTGATTAATGTGTAATTTATATTTTCAGGTAACATACTCCTAACGGAAGGGAATGTTTGTGGTGAAATAAAAATAACTGACTTTGGACTGAGTAAAGTGATGGATGAGGAAAACTATAACCCCGACCATGGAATGGACTTGACCTCGCAAGGAGCTGGTACCTATTGGTATCTGCCCCCAGAATGTTTTGTGGTCGGAAAAAATCCTCCCAAAATCTCATCCAAGGTTGACGTCTGGAGTGTAGGGGTTATTTTTTATCAGTGTCTCTATGGCAAGAAGGTATGTATGCCAGCTGTTGTATTAGCTCTCTAATATCACAGAATCACTTTGTAAGTTATACTCTCAGAATTACATGACAGAAGCTTTTGACGAAGCATTGGATTCTCAAGGACTTTTAACTACTTAGTCTCTACACCTTTCAGTTTATCATTCCTTTCTGTGGGCATGCTTAAGGCTGCTCATTGAAATAATCCTGGAATCTTATGCAGTTAAAGATTGATGTTTCTAATGCATTAGAAAACATTTTACAAGTTTTGGTTGTAAGTTTAGCAAACCAAGTGTAAGAGGCCTCTGTCTGGACAAAGATTGAAACCAGGCACATTCCAAATACAAATCAGAAGCATTACATCTTAAACCAACTTGCATGGTGTGCCTGTGTTTTAGTACAGAGGAGGAGGTTTGCATGGTGGACATGGTGAAAAGTGAAGTGTATTGCAGTAATGTTAAGTAACAGATATTAGTGAAATTTATAGTGTCTCAGTATTAAGTTCATATTTGAAGACCAGTTCATTGAATCACCAAGCGGAAGAAATTGAAGGGAAACACGGTTTAGGCATTTTTGGCAGTGCTTGGTTTTATGAACAACCTTTGAAAACAAAAGCTCTCTAGATAGTGGCACTGCTTATTGCATAATGTTATTGTATCAAGTTTAGTATCTTAATACAAATGTAGTTCTCTTTCCAGGACTTCTACAATAAAATGACTGAGGTTAGATATTTTTCTCGAGAGTTTGTTTTTAATAGTTTTCCATAATGGGCTTAATGCAAGTTATAACAGTAACAGTTTTAATTATGACAGGATTAATAGTTGAAATGAGGTGTTGACTTATTTTAATACTTTTTATAAAATGTGGACAGCAAGGTTGACACATTGTATTGTTGGATGTTGTAGCCTTTCGGACACAACCAGTCTCAAGCCACCATCTTGGAGGAGAACACAATTCTCAAGGCCACTGACGTGCAGTTTGCCAACAAGCCCACAGTCAGCAATGAAGCGAAGGTAAAGAGGTCCTTGAACTTTCCTTTCTCCCCCTGGGCCATATTTGAAACTCTTTCTGAGGTACAGTTTTCTGCCGTCCTGTTGTCTATATCTGTAGTCTGAAATTCCTTTTCATGTGTTACTGAAGATTACTGTCTTCTGTTATGTGACACCGCATAGCCTGGTAAAACATTCATATTCAGAGTCATGGGGACCTCATGCCTTGCTCTATAATATTTTTAATCTGTAGTTCAATTCTGATATCTGTGCCCCTTTTTTCATTTTCCAGTGTTACTCTGCTGCTGTACTCAGTCAAAATACCTTTTGTTTTCTGTTAGTGCCCAGACCTCCAATCAGGTCTTATTTAGTTTTTATTATTATTGAAAATATTCCCCTCCATCTAGTCACACGTGAAGCACGAATGACAGATCACGTTTTTTATAAGAAGTGATATTCTAATTCTTTGATGTTCAATATTATACAATTCAAGGAGGCTCCAACTTGACGTGTTGACCGGGCATGATAAGTGTCGCAGAATTAAGCTCTTTTACAGTTCTATGGTTTTATATAGTTACATGTGAATACACACCTGATGCTGGTCATTTGATGATAGAAGTATATAGTGATGACTTCACCTCTAGAAATAAAGCTTATTAGACAGTGAACACTGTTCAGTCACTTAGAGCTTTTGTTTTTCATGGTTCACTTTATTATGACATTTATTCTTTGTAGCCATATTCACAGACTTCTAATTACATGTGGATTCGTTATGTTCAGAGCATAAGGAATTGCAAGGACACTAAGTAATCTGGAATTTGGGAGCAGTGCATGGTTGTATGTATGAATGATGTAGAGCAATGAATTTTCTTAGTGGCAATTCACATTTTCAGAAATTTGTCTCTTCATGCCTTTCAGAACTTCTGAAAGCAAGAATTGTAATTGTTAGGTTAATATTAAAATGAATCTAAAAGAGACAGGATGGGTGGGTGGGGCCTGGACTGATCTAGCTCAGGAGAGGGACCAGTGAGCATGGTAAACCTTTGAATTCTATAAAATCTAGATAATTCCTTAAGTAGCTGACCCAACAATTTCAGTGGAAGCTGCATTCAAGGTTTCTTTAGAGAGCTGTTAGTTTGAACACTGAGCTGAAGAATGTCTTAAGAGAAATCAGATATTAATGTTCTGTTGTGCTAGCTTCTGAAAAATAACCTGGCTGCAAGAATAAATTAATTAATTACAAGTTAGTTCAGCTGTTGTTTGGTTGATAAAAGAAATAACCACTTTTGTGTATATGTGTTTCTTAAGGAGTGGTTCCTCCTAGATTTCGAATTTTCTTGTTTTCTAATAAGTACAGTGTTTGAGTGTGGTCTCAGAAACTTTATTTTTAAGCTATAAAGCATTCAGAATGGACTTTCGAATGAAGTTATATAAACAGATATAATGCATGAAATGTACACTCTGATGTATCAATATATGGTGATCTGTCCTGTGGAACCCTAACATGCACTTCGTCAACATCAAGAGTTTGTACAAGTACAGTAAAACTTGGTTATAGCAACATCGGTTTCTGCGACACCTTGTCTATTGCGTCAAATATTCAATGGTACGAACTAATTCCTCATAAAGCAACTGTTTTTATACCTTGCTTAGTACGACATGCACAGATGCATCAACCTCGTATGTAATGTCATTTTCATTCCTGAATTTCTCTGATACCGTGGGAAAGTTCGATGTGTCTGCCCACCCTCACTTTCTCTATTGCTGACGTGACTGTCCTGGAAGAATATGACCGCGGGCTGCAAGAGGAGCGTGGGTTTTATGCGAAAACAAGGGTGTGGGGTGGGACTGCGTGATTAGTGCAAGAGGAGGCGGCAGGTTGTTAACTGCATTCCTTTCCTAGAATCTCGTCTAACAGGACCTCACATTGTCTACTTACCCTATAGTGTTCCTGCCTAAACCCAGAGAAGTGCAGTAGCGAAAACATGGCAATGAAAAGGAAAGTTTTAAGCATTGAAGAGAAAGTTAAAGTGATTCGTGAAATATTGTGTGTATTGTCAGTGAAAAGCGCTGTAATATGTCTTTGATATTACACATTTGGGCAATTCCACGTTAATGTTACGTTAGTCTGTACTTAACTACGTATTTCACTAAAAAATGCAACATTTTAACTCAGTTTTTGGTAGATTTTTACGTGACTAACATAAGGCTACTGTGGAAGTGCCCATTTCGGTTACAACGACATTCGTTTATAACGACACTATTTTTAGGTCCCTTTGATGACGTTATAACCAAGTTCTACTGTACATGCAAATTGTTGTTCACAGAGTTTCATCAGAAGTTGCTTAGCATATCGCAAGGAAGATCGGATTGACGTGTTCTCCCTGGCTAGGCACGAGTACCTGCAGCCCCCGATGCCAAAGCATGGTCGACAGGCGAGCAACCAGCAGCAAATCCAACAACAAGCACAGCAGCAACAGCACATACAGCAACAACAGCAGCAGCAACAACAGACCTCATTCAGTACTGGAATGTTCAGTGGCATGAATGCGTCCAGCTCCTCCTAGTGACCAAGGAGGCGACGCAGCGATGTGGCCATGAGAAAGAACCTGGCTTCCCGTGCGGCCTCTAGCGGAACGTTCTCAGCCTAACCTGGCAGCATGTGTAACTCCATCTCCTGCAGAAGGCAGCATTTATTAACCTGGCAGCAAAGAAGTATCAGTTGATTAGAGTGTAAGATGAATTCAGGGTCATGTGGAACCATCTTGTCAAAATCAACAAAAGGCAGAGTGATCATTTGAAATACTGCACATTGTTCTGATTCTACTCCTTGAGATTATGCAGTATAAAGTGACACCAGCTTTCGGTTGGTCTTGGCTCTGTGGCTCGCTGGCTGGAATGTGGGGATGTGACCCATAGTTTCATCTCGAGCCCACATCCAAAAATTACCTCCAGAAAATAAATGCATCTTAAAGTGGGTAGTATTACTTCTTGACAGTGACTGGCAGGCCGCTCCAGGGTACAGTACACTTCATCCATTTTCTGAAGCAAGCGTCACCATTGCTGTGTTGCTTTCCAGTTTGATCAGTGTTTCATTTCAAAGCAGAAAACAAACAAATTAAACAGCCCCCTTCTTGAGTTTAGACGGCAGTGGCCCTGGACTATTCGATATAAAGATGGTGATCGAAATCGGTGCTTAATTCCCAAAGTGAACCTAGATTGTGCTGCTGTGCCATGGATTGAGAGACATTCGCTTAACCATTGTGCAGCATCGATGAAGTTCCTCGTTAAAGAGCGGCAGTGTGGCTGCTTGATGGCAGTAGGAGACAGAGGCCTCTGGAAGGGGCATACTGGAAAGGTGGTGAGGGGGTCTCCCATGTGTACATATATTAATGTTACCTCCTCCCCCCTTGCCTCCATGACGGGATGATCGGCTTTTATTGACCAGTGAAACGTCATCTGATCTAACATCACCAAACGAAGAAGGAAGAATCGGACATGAGGTGACGGAAAACACTTACTGTCCGGTGACTTTGGTTTTTTCATCTTCTGTACGATGCTCGCGGAAGTAGGGATGTGTTTGTTTTGTTATTCCCCCCGTGTGTGGAAGAGTAATATGGAGACAATTATAATTAATAATAAAAGTGAAACTTATAAATACGTAGTGTAAAGCTTTAGAGAACATACACGGAAGGAAGAAGTACGAGCGAGCGAACTGACCCCCTAGTGTGTGGAAGTATTCCGTGAATATTTCAACACTTCCCCCCCCCCCAACTCTCTTTTCTCTCTCTCCTGCTGATAATGCTTTCTGCTTCCATCGTTGACCGCATGTGTACAGTCAACTATTTTTGTCTGGTTTTTTTTGTACCATTGTAATTATGTTGATTTCCTAAAGGATCACTTTTTATTATCAGAAGAATCTGGAAACTATAGCAGTCCGAAGGAATGAAATGGGAGAAACAGCAAAGGCAACTGAAATTTAATCAAACATTTAATCATATCCTTATTTTCTCCTCTTTTTTGATAGAAAATAATAAGGCTATTGTAAGTTATTTTTAAAAGTGACCTTGCTGGAATGCTTTGTAACATATACTGTTGTTGTGAATGAAACCAGACGGGAGGATCAAGGTTCAAGCCAAGGGCTTGCACGCAAATTGTTTTACTGGTTCCAATTGCTAGGCAAGAGTGAATGAATGCGTGAGAGTGGGTGTGTGGTGTGTGCATGGTCAACATGTCGCCAAGCGGCAGACGTACAGACTGGTGTAGTGTACAGCTGAGGCTTCAGTGTGATGAGAATATATAAGTCTGACTGGTTCCGTGATACAGCACTCGTTTCTAATACCTCCTCAAACCTAGGCTTGGTAGAATTTTATTTAAATGCTATAGTATCCTCATGTAAGAATGAAGTGGCATCTCCGACTGTATGGTGCTAAGACGAACAACAAATTGTACCAAGTGTAATCTTTGCTCATTGCTTTAACTCCATTTGTAATGGTTGAGCCTTACGTGTTCTTTGGTCTCTGTCCAAATGTATGGCATATATTAGGCTGTCAAGTTTAATTGTGCTCTCTTTGTACAAAGCACTGGTTACTCATTGCCAAATAAAATACAAATTGAAAGTTCTTTACCCATCTGTGTTTTAACGCTGAGAAATTATGAATTCTACCAAGCCTCTCTCTACCTGATCATTTTCCCAGATTACAGGTGTCTGGTCAAGTACAAGAATAAACCATCAGCAGTAAGGCAGTCCAACATCCAATCAGTTTGCTTTTCTGTAGCACAGTAGTTCCTGAACTGTGGTTTGTGAACCCCAGAAGGTGCATCCAGAGGACTCCTTGGATAAAAAGTACCAGCAGATTTTCATGTGACAGAATTATTTTTAAATAATTCAATTAAAGAATGCTTATCTGTTTTGGAAAAGTATTTGTGCTGTATTCAAAATTCATGGTTCTTATTTTTACCAAATGAAGGTTTAAATGTGTAGAAGTGGTCAAATCAGGTCTGCGCATGAAAGGAAGAATATAACTATTTTTCATGATCGTTGGGAATTGCTGGTCTAGAGTCTAGAGTCTTTGTCAGAGAAGGAGACCTCCTTCCCCCACTCCAAGAATATAGATTCTGAACTCCATAGTGAAATAACTGGAAGGATCAAATTGGGTAAGGTAATGTAAATATTGCAGAACACTTCTCAGCTTGGGGACTCTTGAACAGTACACACAAAACTGGCCTGTTTACATATCGAAGCCTATGTCAGAATAATGAGAATGATTTCATAAATTAATGAATGATAATACATGGCACTACTGTACTCAAGATACTAACTAGACAGCAGCACATCCCAGGTACCTCGATCTTCAGGGCAGTAGGATACTTCAAAATATCAGTACCTGTCATGATGTCACATCCCAGAAGAGCATAACAGTATTTTTTTTTTTCAGTTACATATATTGGAACACCAGGCTTTAATCCATTGTTTAGATCAGACTGGCAGAATGTGTCCCATTGGCAGGGAAACAGTAAGAGAGAGATAATGCTTGCAAGTTTTATTTTTACTTGTGACATGGATGTTGAATTCATGCTGTTGTCTGTGTTTTGCTAGGGCGTAGGGCTCTGTAAGTGTTGGCTTACCTTATTTGTAAAGAGCATTTACCAGTGTTAACAGCATACACTGACATAAGAACAGACTTTTTTTTGCTCACAGAATGTCTTCGTGAGGAGGCATTTGCATTGCGTCTCTTCTAAGAACATGCTTGTATTTTCTTTTTCTTTGTGTTTTGTGGGGTTTAATCCTCGTAAGTGCTCTGCCCTGTCTTGTTTATTTAATATTCTATAAATCGGGTTTTTGTCCCATTTAATAATGCCCTATTTTGAGAAATATTTATGATTGTTTTGACAAAACTTCGTTTCTCAGTCATTTTCCACTGCTGATTGTTTTGCATCATATTGTTTCATCATCCTTTGTAAGTCATATAACCCTTCACTGTGATTTGAATGATTTCACCTTTTTTTGGGATCTCTTTATTGTTACTTGAAGCTATTTGTATTTTATTTGTATCACCAGACAAGGAAGAAAGTCTTCTGCTACAATAACAGCAGGCATATGTGAATTTCTCAGTGAGTAAAGCTTGTAATATCAACATGAATGGGAAAGTAATTGGTATTTGTTATTGGTTCCAAAACAGTTGCCTGGAGAGAAATTGTAAGAGGAAGCTCAAAGAAAGATCACAATTATAAGACTGAAGACACTGTTCTGGAAGCAGAGGCCTATGGATAATGTGACATTTCAGATACTGGGTAGAATTTACCTTGCACTGAAAGGTAAAAGGCCTGGCTGTTGTGGGGAAACATTGAACCTGGTCAAGCATTACACCAAAATTTAGATGATAGGCCATGTACTAAGGTAAAAGGCCTGGATGTTGTGGGGAAACGTTGAACCTGGTCAAGCATTACACCAAAATTTAGATGATGATAGGCCACGTACTTTTGATGGCCTGGCTGCTAATGTACACAGTGTCATGCCAAAATACCATAAACACAAGTCATTGCTGTGCGAACATCTCATGAGACAGTAGTGATTAAGAAGATGTATTCTTGGATGGGTAGATCCTTATGATCATGCTGAAGAGTAGAGCAGGTTTTTCTGAAATGGTAGCTCTTGGTGAGACTGCAGAGTGGTGCAGCCCAGAAGACAGTGATTTTTTAAGTACGAATACCATTGTTAGGCGCCAAAGTTAATATTGCATGTTACTGAATATGTCAAACAGGATTTCATTCTTGCAACATATCAGGGAGGTGTTTAGTTTGAATCCTGGCTGGGATACCAGCTATCCTGACAGAGGCTTTCCATGGTGTTCCTTAGTCTGTCCAGGCAATTGCCAGAATAGTAATTTGCTCAGGTTTTCCCAGTTCATCACTCATCATACTGTGCAATGCTATTTAGTCAAGATATTGACAGCATTTCTATGTAATCTCCAAGAAAGAATGCGTCGAACTATACCTCCACCCATGCATCTGCATACTGTCTGCAGACACAGCTCTATGTACATTGAGAAATAAAACTCTGTACATAATTTTGATGCCCTTTGATATTAAAATGACATTTTACATTTTAGCCTACTTTTCTTATTTTGAAAAAATAAAAGTAGGCATATATGATCTCCATGCTGTGTGTCTGTGTAACCCCTCTCAACTTCTGAATGGCTGAACCAGTATGTATATCGTGGCACCTGAGCCTGTCTTAACGGCATACTTCATAAATCCCTCCCATCAGTCTGCGTGTCTACAGCTTTGCTAGGCAATGGCTCAGCAAAAACATTACTGTAGCAATGAGTACAAGAACAGAAGAATTGTTGGATGTATAGTTTTCTATGCAGTCCATGCTCTAGCAAGAAAGTAAGTGAACTTCTTGTTTAAAGTGAGATTTATTTTTTTGAACTTACAAAGGAACATACAGCTTCCTCTGTTTCCTGTTAATAGTTAGGGTTTCATTATGTCTCACTGGCAGCTTTAGACACTGGAAGTAGCTTTTTAAAAAAGGCTGTGAAAGTGAGTAGATGGTGCACCTATTTCCAGCCAAGTCAGTCAGAGTTTGAAGTACCTGTTGCACTCAGGTGTATGACAATGTGTGACACCTTTACAAGACTTTGAAGATGTACAGATCCAAGATTCTGCAGAGCATTATGGAGGAGAGAACCATCTCACCCCTGTCAGGAAAATTAAACCCAAATTCCTGGGTTGTTCAGCAGCCCTTAGCATACTTACTACACCAACTGAGCAATCCTGGCTCCTTACTCTCCCNGGGGGCAGTATGTTCCTCTGAAATATTGGTAACTATCTGCACTAACTGCATCACATAACATGAGTTTTATTCACAAATTAGTGTCTGTTTACAATTTTGCAGCACATTACATTTTTCATCACCTTTTCTTACTCCCATGCACCAAAGTTTCAGTCTTGCATCAAGTAGTCTGTGTGAATATTTATAATAGCTTTTAATTAATATTCAGGGAGCTACATTGTTTCTGAAGTGATCAGGAGATAATAGTGATGGTTGAATACAGAGATTTGGAAATTTACATGAAACATCCAATTTGATCATTTATATATTCCACAAGACAGGAAATGGGTAATGAAAGAAATGTCTTTCATGCTCCTCTACAACTTATGTTAAAAATATTTTTCACTTCAATAAATTGGTACACTCAAGATGCACACAGAAGCACATGCAGATCTTAAGGTAAATTGATGGTTAAAATTGCTCAAAATATAAAACTGAAGAATTCCATCAAAAGAAGTAAACTTCTCTGCCTTGTTTTGGTTACCAATGGGCACATGAAAGAGGCAATATCATTGTAGAAAGTGGTAAGAGGTGTTCATTTTAAAATTAAGTACTGGTGGTTAAACCAAATTAAAATATCCATGACTTTGTTAAGGGAAGGATATAGTTATGGCATAATGCCTTTTACAGTTCACAGCATAAAGTTTTATCAATTCTGCTCTAGGCCGCACATCCCTGTGTACAGTGGCATTGCATGCTTTCCTGCAGACAGACTGCAATGAATCCACTACTGTAAAAAAATTTTAATGACTACAAACTATAAATTATAGCATTTCCTCAAAGCCAAATGGAATAATATGCTTTGACAAATATACTACTTGATCAATGAAGTCACTATGGCCAGTATACCAGAATTATTCAACGAAGTGGATGTATGTCCACTGCATATTGGACAGTGGCACATTCAGCAATAACCTATAATAAGTATGGATACATTGCATTCTGTATTCGTGACTGGGAAAAGAATAGTGGCTATTTATTCCTTAGTTATTAGCTCTCTCGTGTGCAACTTCGTTTTTTGAAAGTTTTAAACGTTAAAATCAAAATCACTGGTGTATACACAACACACAAATTGCGTGCGAGGCGGCTAATAACAGGAATAAATGAGTGATGGCAACAGGATGCTATGATACAATATTAACAAATATTGAAACAGTAGTGTCTTCTTTGTTTTTTAAATACAGAATATTGTTGTGTAGATTGCATACCTTATATACATATATGCCTCCATATATATTTAAGCATACATACAACACAGCTAAACCTCGAAAACCCAAGTTACATATTTAATGACGTTAATAGCCTTAAACACACCGACAAAGCAGAAACCATATTACGCGCGTAAAGCGAATAGCAACTCCTGCGCGCTTCTGGTTTTACGGTAGTCAGCACTGGTCAGTACGGTACGTACGGAAGTACGGAAGATACAGAAGCTACGGCATAAAGCATGAAGTAGCGAATACTACTCCCTTTGATGTTTTAGTATCCTTGAGGAGCGTGTTCAAGTGGTTCAAGTGTTCGTGTAGACCGGTCTAGACTGGTTGTATGTGGTCGGCGGTACTAATGCAGCCAATATAGCGGTCAGCAAGAATCAATCGAATGCGTGTTCGAGTTTTTTAGCCTTCTTTGCATAATATTTGAATATCACTAGATCTGACATGGGATTAGATGGGAATGTCCGTGAGGCCGATTAAGTGGATGGTGCATTCGATCAGGCGTTGATGATGAGGATACGGGAATGAACTGTGGTGACAAATTTGATTATAGTTGCATCGTTTTTTAGCGGTGCTTATTTATAATGTGCTGTTCTGTCAAAAGCGGTCAAAAGTAGCCAGTTAGCAATTTGTGATGATACTTGAACTGCATTATGAACTCTCACACATGAATGTATATATGTAAGTAAAGCTCTGTTAAATGATCACGTTGTTCGGTAACTTGCCAGTAGTATTGTACAATCTCATTATGACAGTAATGTTTGACATTTCTTTAATCATTTTCTATATTCAAATGCTGGAATAAGGATAAATGAGGATACATGCCTCACATGCCAGTGTAACTCATTGTACCCACTGATTCTGAGTCATAGGTAATATTTGGTAAATCATTTATTTGGAAGTTCATGTCCTTTTTGAGAAGCTAGTAGTTCTAGTCAAGTAATTCTAATTTTTTTATGGATCCAGATATTTATTATTATGTCTAGAAGAGCCACTGAGTGGCCACTGCCCTGAAATAAATCCTGTTCCCATCCTATTTCTGTTAAGATCAAGTTTAATATTATTCTCCAATCTATGCCTAGGTCTTTCAAGTTGTTTCTTTCAGGTTTGCCTACCAAAATTTTTGTATGAATTTTGCTTCTTACCCATGCAAGCTAGAAGGTCGCCACTTTGCTTCCCAGGGAGGTCATTGGATTTTTGAATTGACCTAATCCTTCCAGTTGCACTATGGCCCTGGGGTTGACTCAGCCCCTAACAGAAATGAGTCCCAGGAATCTTCCTGGGGTTAAAGGGTGGCCAGCCAGCACATACGGTTGACAACCTCACTGCCGTCTGTGAGCTGATTGTCTAGAAAATGTGGGAGCCTTGACCTCTCAAAACCCTGTGGGCCTCCACAGCCTGTCATAGGGATAGCTACCTTTTTTGCCAATGCAAGCTACATACTCTTTCCCATCTTATTCTCTTTGTTTTGTTCATCCTAATAATATGTGGTAAGGAATGCAGATTTTGAAGCTACTCCCCAGGAAAATTATTTAATTAATTCCTGGTACTCATTTCTGTTAGAGGCTGAGTCGACCCCAGGGCCATAGTGCAGCTTGAAGGATTAGGTCAATTGAAAAAAATCCAATGACCTCATCGGGACTTGAACCCATGACTGTCTGGCTTGTAGCATAGCCCCTCAACCAACTGTTATCATGTGCAAATATGAGAAAAATGATTATTTAAACTTTGAAAATACAAATGCATTTATTAACTGGTAATTACAGCAGGGACTTGCATGGAAAGTAGATGTATTGCAAAGATGTACCCATAATTCATAATTCTGCCAAATAGCATCTCAGTACATATGTAAGGTATGAGGGTTTCATGGTGTTGAATATTCAGACTGTGGTCCTCTGGGCCGGTGTTTACTTATGTTTTGGAGGAACATACTGTCCCTGTATTTGTATTTGTTGTAAGTTCAAGAGATCCAAAGATGGATATAGAACAAGTCATAAAATAATATCGATCATAGAATATATACATAGTTATTACACAACTAGACAGTACAATGAATACAACAACAATAAAAGTTATCTGTTTAGATATTCATCCACAGTATAAAACACATGAGTGTTCAAGAAATGCCTTAATACAACCTTAAACTTTTTAAAATTATTAGATGTGTTCTTGATCTCTATGGGCAATTTATTAAATATTTTTATACCCACATAATAAACTCCTTTTTGATAAATAGTTAAATTAGCTTGAGGTAGATACAAATCTTGCCTTTGCCTAGTATCAGTAGTATGAGAATCATTGTTTGGTGGAAAAATAACTTTATTTTTCAATACAAATACTAACAACGAAAATATATATAATGATGCAAATGATAAAATATTTAACTCTTTAAATATGTTTCTGCACAAAACTCTATTGCCATATCCCAACATTGCTCTGATAGCCTTTTTTTTTTTTTTTGAGAAGAAAAACAGTAGAACTCTGAGATGAGTTTCCCCTGTCTTCACTCCTGCCCTGAAGCAGAAATACCAGGTTTCTTTAAGACATTGGTACCAAACTTCCAGCCAGCTATGCTGTGTTATAACCCTGAACTTCACAATAGAAATTGTAGTATGTAGTTCACCATCATTTTTAATGTGTGCGGATATCATGCAGGTGTCTGGGGCCCTGCTGATGTGCAGCGTTGTGTGAATTGCAACATGTACCATCACACATCAGGTAAGCAGTGAATGCAACTCCTTTATTAGCCTATTTTCCTTATTTTGAAGAAATAAAAGGAGGCCTGTGAGGTCGTATTGCTGTCTGTGTCCTTCCCAACCCTGTTGCTAGGCAGTGGTTCCATAAACACATTCTTGTGGCAACAGATGTACACCCAGAAATAGAAGCACTGTTGGACACAGTGTTTTCTGTGCGGTCTGTCGTGTGTCAAATACTCAGAATGAAGTGGAGGAAAGTAGGTGAATAGTTTCACCATAGTACTTCTTGTATTACATTAATGCCATCTACACATTCTTGTATAATTATCCCCTTCTTTACATGATAGTTGAGTTGCATAACTCAGAATTTTTGTTACTCATTGTGATCTGTTTTGTTATTGTCATTGGAAAGTACCTAATTCAATTAACTTTGATATCATCATTGATCTGTGGTTTTCATGGTGATAACTGTGAACAGAACTGTCTTTTTGGATGCAACACAAAGTAATCCAGTAAAAGGTCATGGAAGATTCGGAGGAATTTACTGCCTCCGTCCTCAGGGTTGAAGAGCATATCAAGCAAAATGCAGGGAGAATGTCAGTAAAGCTCTACAAGATGGCAAGGTGTGGCAACATGGCAGTTTGCAAGATACCAAGATAGGTGGACATTTTTTTAAACACACAACAACATAATTTCTTAGTCTTTATTAAAAAACTGAATTAAAAATAATTTACATGAAGCCACATTAGTGTGAAATTTGTACAGATCAGAATTATGGACATCAGGGGATGTATTTACTACGTGTATGAACAAGAAATTTTTTCTGGTCTTGAGAATGTAGAACAAAGATATAATAATGAAGAATGCCATCTTCTCGGATGTGGCGCCATGTAGATATTGTGTAAACCGACGTTTCGGATTAACGTATCGCCTCCGTCTTCAAGTTATAAAAATCCATGAGCAAGGAACCAGCATGAGCAGTTGGGTGTAGGTGGCACCTGCTCATGCTGGTTCCTCACTCACGGATTTTTTATATCCTGAAGATGGAGGCGTTACATTCCTCCGAACTCCGAAACACCAGTTTACACAGTATCTACATGGTTCCACATCCCAGAAGACGGCATTCTTCATAGTCACCGTTGTGAAAACCTCAAGTCTTACAAAGACGTAGTCGTACCTATACTGAATGGAAGTGGTTCAACACACGGAAATGAAAATCGTCCAGAATGTAATTTGCTTCAGTATTTGTTGTTCCTCTGCATATGGTTTGCTTCTGTTTGTTGCTTGCTGGAGTCTACCCCAGAATGAGCATTCCTGCCACAAATGAGGAAGAAGTAAGCCTGACCAGCAATGCAGTATTTCCTGAAAACTTTATTTCTAAATGGAAACTTGGATGTTTCCTTGTCAGTATTGCAATGTGCAATGTATGTAAAAATGGTAAAATGTGAAGCTATCCCTGTAACAGGCCGTGAAGGCTCATAAGGTTGTGAGATGTCGTGATTCCCACATATTGTCTAGACATTCAGCTTGCAGATGGCAGTAAGGTTGTTAGCCTTACACACCAGCCACCCTTTACCCCCAGGGCAATAGTGCAGCTGGAAGGATGAGGTAAATTGAAAAAATCCACAATGTATGTGTAATAGCTAAAACTTGAAAGCAGGAATACCACTCAGATTAAGAAATTAAAGTATGGTTCATCCCCACATTATGCATTATGAAGTTCTGTCCCACTATTTTGACTCATTCGTACCGTATCATATTCCCCCTCTCTCACCGTGCTCAGTGTTTGTGAATTTTAAATATACACTGCATTTTAAAGAATGCATCCTCCTTGTGTAGAAAGAGCTGTGTGTGCTTTTGATACAGAATTTTTATTGGAGAAACCTCAAGGAAATAGGATCACTTGGGAGACCTGTATAGCTGAGAGGGTAATATTAAAGTGGACCCTACAGAAGTAACATTCGAAGGTATAAAGTGGTTTGTACATGCTCCGGATTGGGTACAGTGGTGGTCTTTTGTGGTCTGAAGTTTGCATAAGGCAATGGATTAATCATGTTCTATAACTGTCATAATTTTTAAATCACCTTTTATTAATATTTTACTGTGAAGTTGATCATGCATTGGACTCTTTTCCAGGTTTTGAGGTTATGCATGAGTTCAGAGCTTTCTCTTTGTGTACTTGTCTGTAGTTTTTGTCAGTAACTTTAGACTGTATACTGTCAGGTGAATGGGTGTTAATAAATAATGAGTTGAAAGGATGCATAAGGAAGTGGCTGTGGCCTAATTTAAGGTGCCATGTTGGAATTGGTGCTGAGGAAAACCATGGAAAGCCTCAGAATACTTGGTGTGTCCAGCCAAGATTCAAATAACACTCAGCCCAAATACAAGTGAGAAGTGCTTCCGCTTCAGCCAGCCTGCTCGTGAATGTTGTGTCCTCTAAGATTTAGTATTAATAATGACTTATTGACATAAGCTACAAGTATTGACAGGGTTTCTCTTGCTGTGATGTTTATTTGAGTTGTTTGTTGGAACAATTCACACCAGCAGTTGCATAAGCACAGAATAATGTTTCATTAGGGCTCAGACGTTCGCTCTCTTGCTGTTAAAAAGCAAGTGCTAGATGAGAGATGAAGTCCCCAGTGTAAGGACCGTGGATGTGATAATGTGCTGCTTAGCCAGGGCTCCTGCACATCTCAGGATGTGGTGATAGATGAGTATGGAGCAATGGTGAAATGATGATTAGCAGGAGAAATCTAATGAAGAAACTCCAGTGCCTTTTCATCCCCCTCAAATCTCACGTGTTTTCCCCCCGGCCCCCACTATGACAAGCAGACTGCCCGAGTCAGAGGAAGTTGATGTAGTGGTAATGCTCTAGACTTGTCTTCAGCAGATGCCTGGCTTCAAATCTCAGTTGGGTTACCAGCTGCCCTGGCTTTGGTTTTTGTGGTTTCCCATCCACATCTCTTTCACATTGTTATCATTTATAGTCATGTGAGATATGTGGTTTTCATGGCTTCAGTATGAAGATTCTGGGATTCTGGGTGTGACACAATGTAGAGTTGCAGATGGGTACTAATATTTTGGAGGAACCTGTTGCCTCTATCTTCATGGTTACTCTAAAGTGTTGGTATTCGTCTGTCAAAACAAATGACATCACATGCCAGAAGGTTGGTGAATCATTGTCATATCTTTTTTAGTTGTACATTTGTGTTCATTCTTCCTGCCCTCTGATTTCTGAGTGTGTCATGCATTTTAGTCAGTTCAAATTCCAGCATTGCTAGATTCTAAAGGGTTCTGAGGATGGTGTATAACATACAGAATGGCCCAATATTACTTCGCAGAATGGTGTGTGGCTTGGTTGTTTTGCAGTTGTGGAAATGGAAACTGCGTTTGGGAAGAAATCAGGAGGAAATTTAATTTTGGGAGTGGTAGCTACAATTCTGTTCAGAATCCTTTGTCTTTCCACCTGCTGTCTGTAAACATGAAGGTTAAAATATACAGAATTATAATTTTTCGTGTAGTTCTGTTTGGGTGCGAAATTTGGTCCTTTGCGTTGAGGGAAGAACATAGACTGAGAATGTTTGAGAACAGGGTGCTGACAAGAATATTTGGTTGAAAGTTGAAATAATATGAGGCCGGAGAAAATAGCATAATGAGGAACTTCATGTTTTCTGTTCTTCTCCGGAAGTTATTAGAATGATCAAATCATGGAATGTGTGATGGGTAGGGCATGCTATATTCACCATGGAGAAGAGTGCAGAGTTTTAATATGACAACCTGAAAGAATGGAGCACTAGTAAGACATGGACTAGGTAGGAGGATAATACTAAAATGAAACTTAAAGAAATAGGATGGGCTTTTGTTACACGGCAAAAAATCTTCATGTTCCATAAAGGCTGGGAAATTCTTTTGTTGGAATTAGTTAGTTCATGCATCTGTTCCACTGTATTTTTACTTTATTTCTTTCTCTGATGTCAGCTGATGGTGGTCTGATCTAGTGAAGTTGGTGGTGGTCTCAAAAAGCACATTTGTGATTCCTCTAATTATTAGTATTCCTTTTCGTTTAAAATATAAACTTAACTTAAAATTATTTGTGTCTGTTGGTGTAGTGATATTTTGTTGCCTGAGTATTGGAGTGCCCCTTCTTCACTTTTGGGTGAAAATGAGATAAAGCGCTTTTCCGATTCTCCTTCCATGTGCACCCATACTTGCAAGTGTGAGGTTTCAGAATGTGTTTCGTTCCAACTCACATTTCAACTGCACTTGAGTCCCTAACTTGAAACCAAGTTTCCTGAAATTTGGTGTTCATGGAGATAGTACACTCCAGTACTCAGGTAACAATATGCATGCCGATGACCAGATGTGGAAACAGCGTTTGTAGATGACACGTTGATTTGAGGGCGAGATGAATTTAATTTTAAGGTAACTGAATAGTGGAACCTCATTACAGAGAAATATAGGCTGAAAATGGGCGTGGCCAAGACCGTAACAAGGTACAGATAAACTCGCTTGTGTGCTTAATTAAGCACGCCATGAAGACGTCTGGGGGAGTGGAGGTATAGCTCCAACATTGTTGACCTTGGCATTAGATGAAGGAGAGTGGTCAGCTTCACTCTTCGGCCGCAATACTCCCGGGGAATATGCCCCCGGTATCCATTGCATACGAGGCTGGATGGGTCCCATAGTCTGGACGCTGTAGAGAGAAATATTTCCGCCGCCGAGAATCGAACCGCGGCCATCAATCATGTAGCTCGTCGCTCTAGCGACTGAGCTATCCCGGCTCCAGAGAAGACGGGTGACCAAAATGATTTCAAGGAAAGGAGACAAAAGGATAAATGGTTATTATCTCTGTGGTTATGCAGATGGACAAATTTATTTCTTATTTGGGAAGTGAGCATGCAGGATATTGGTGGGACAGCCAGAAGGAAAAAGACGACTAGGAATGCACGGCGGGCCATGTCTGCCATTTCATGGTGGTGACTGTACTCGTACTCTATGTAGTAAGTGACCTTGCTCCGACGT